AGAGACAAGAACAAGATTAGCTTGAGGCAAAAAAAAAAAAACAAACCAACACTGAACCTTTTGACTATGGAACTTTTGATGATGAGTATTTACAGACGAAATGATAGCTGGGGTTAGTTTCAAAGTAATTGGGGAGAATGGGTAGGTTCGAGATGAATCAGAGTTGGCACTGAGTTGATAGTTGCTGGAGATGGGTGATAGGTACAGAAGAGCTTTCTGTCATTCTCTCTTTGTGGTGTTTTCAAATATTTTCCAAAATAAGTTTTTGAAAACAATTGGGGAAAGAGTATAAGTTTTCAAAGCCAACTATTTATCTTCAAAACATCTTGCATCTGGGGTTACCCATTCCAGAGACCCTGACGTTCATACTTGAGAAGTAGCATTGTGCAGAGGAATACACTGTTTAGAAATGTGCTTTGACTTTGGGCTCTGGCATAAGTTAAGCACCCTTCTAAACATAAAGGAAGTTAGAGAGTTGTCCAGTGTGGCCCTCATTCCATGTGTTCCTGAGTGGCTGGAAGCACCATATGTCCTGAACATGGGTATCTGGAAAATACTCCCACCATGCTGTGACAGTCAGGAGAAAAGGCAGCAGCTGATTTTGAAGAATGCTGCTATTTTGGACCTGGGCTCCATCCTTATCGCGTCGGCTGTGCTAAACATGGGAACTAGTTAGCTGCTTAATAACAGAGCAGTTATTTTATTCTGTTTGTGGAGAAGCTATCTCTGACCTATCTGAATGTAAAGAAGTCCCTGTCTTTTAAGATAAACCCTACATATACCCTCAATGAGAAAATGGCATGAAATCTGTGAAGGTCATAAATACATAAGGAGGTAGACTGAATAATTTAGAAAAATAAAACACAATATATAAACTTATAAATAAGAGAACTTGGGCCGGGGATTTAGCTCAGTGGTACCGCCTCCTGCCTTGCAAGGAGCCAAGTTCGATCCCCGGTACGAAAAAAATAATAATAATAAGATAAATTAAAAATTAAAACAAAATAAGAGGGCTTGTTTCTTTTCATTTGAAATGTCTCATTCAAGAGCAAGAATTAAGTTATCATAGGCCATTGTAAGTTTAACTTGATAGAAGATTGCTTTTTCTCTTTAAAGGCCAAGCATTATCATTTGTGAATGCTAATAGTTTTGCCTATTCTTTAGTGCCTGGTTGTCCAAAACCCACAGAAAAGAATGAAACCTCTAACCGAGAGGGGCAGAGAAACGGTGTTACCCGATGGTACAGACCAGCCGTCTCTGCTTCTATATCTATGTAAAGAAGTCCACCCAAAGAAATGATGGGGTTGTATCCAGGGCTACTGAGCCTAATCCTTGGCTGCCTCCGGGTTATTCGGAGTTGTAATTTTCCATGTCATCTATATTTGTAATAATTCTTCAGTATGATAGAGTTCAAGGAACAAACATTCTGCTCACTGCATTTCTTCTGCGTGAGTCATTCCCTGACAACTTCCAGGTCTTGGCAGCAGCACCTTGATCATAAGTTATGCTCACTTTCAGCATGGTGAAAACCTATGATATGTAACACAGTGTCTTTGAATTCAGTTGCCGATTTTCCTAAAGGAAATTTTGGAGAAAGAAGGAAATGAAATACTCAAATTTAGGAGTAGAACAGATGCATTATTGTAAGATCTAAAACATGCATGAGCACTGGTGATGAAATCATTTCTTCCGAATGAAAGACCCTTTCCCTTTTTCTCTCTTTGGCATGATTGCAGTGTGAGCTTCAGTTATCGAAGGGCTGAGGTCTATAGAATAAAAGCATTGTGGGGCCAGGATGGTTTCCACCAGCAGCCACACTAATCTAACTGAAAGAATGGAGAAGTTTGTCTTTTCTGCAAAACATTAAGATTCTTCTAAAGAAACAGCAATGTGACTTGACCACACTGTTTATTAAAAGAGGTTTGGATGGCCACCACGTCTGCCTGCTGGCTGAATCCAAAACTGTGACTTTCTGCAGCAAGCTCATGCAGGGTGATGTCATCTTCACTCAGCCAGCCCAACATTTTTCCGTCTGCTAAAACATAAAGCATGGCTGCTGATCTTACTCTTTCCCCACACAGAGAGACAAGCTGAATGGGTTGTTGCTCTTAATTTAAAAAGTATATGTTAATTGGAATTTTACAAATCAGTTAAGCAAAACAGACAGTGTGGACAATCCCTATCGAGTTCCTGACAGGACAAAGATGAGCACAGAGTGGCTCTTCTGCCGGTGTGATAGGCGCTTGATGGATGTTTGCAAATTGCTATGTTGCACCAACCAGAACCTTTTCATGAGGTGAAAAGGCCATCTGCAGTGTAGTCACATCACCTCCTCGACTGGGTTTGACAGTAGCACGACAGATCGTGTGCTTGCTCACATATGAAGAGCTGTGTATTGCACGTAGTGGCTTACTCTCCTCTTTTAAACTCTCATTTCCTGCCCTCCTACATTTTTACTAAGACATTGACTAGTGGTCTTGGGAGTTGGAAAAATGACTGGATCTTTGCCTTGTATTTTGCTTGGTGCACTCTGAAATATAAAGTACTTCTGCTATGCCAGTTTCACAGTTGCATCTAGAGTTTGCTAAAATATATATCTTCATATATATTTATGTTTCTGAGTGAGAACCTCCCTTATGCCTTACACTGTTTACTTCATGTTTTTTTTGTTTTGTTTTTTCTCTTTTGCTTTTCGGGAGCATTCTTAAATAAGAGCATCTTTTTTCCCATTCTATTTTAAAGGTCTCTGGGGAACAAGACTCACGGAGGAAAGCAGCACTAACCGAGAGAAGTACCTTAAGAGTGTTTTGAGGGAACTGGTCACATACCTCCTTTTCCTCATGGTCTTGTGCATCTGTAAGTAGACTGTTTCCTTCCACTCACGGAGAAGTTTTGAAAATGTTTGACCTGTCAAAAATCATAATTAAAAGGAAGTATATCAGCCCCTGAAGGGTCAATTCAGCAGTTTTCTTCTTGGTTCTGTTTTCATTTCCAATTGAAAATTTGATAAAGGCCCTCCCACCATCACCTTGGCAGACATTAATGAAAAAATCAGTTACCTGACTGGCTACTTCGGTGTCAGTTGGGACCATTTTCACTATGAGAAGCATGTGGCAACCTGTCAGACATGAAGAATTCGATTAAAAGGATCTTAGCATTTCAAAACAAATAACCAGACCAGTGAACATAAAGTCAATGTAAGAACTGTTTTCAGCAGATTGACTTTCCAAGTTTAACATTCAGGAAACAATGCCACCAATACTGCTTTTAGTAACATGTTTAGAAGTCTCCTTTTGGATTTGGACGTGGTATGTCAGTGCCTTTATTCCTTTTCATTATTTCTTCCATATCTTCAGTCATTGCAGGGCTTTTCCTCTGCAGGCAACCTGTGCAGACCCAGACCGATGTCTTTGCTCTGTGATCTGCACATCCTTCAGTGCTTCTGTCTGCACACCCTTGGTGGGTAGGTGGGCGGCTGTAGCCAGAAACCAGTCTCAGAGATAATTTGCCTCCAAGTCCAGAAAGTTGCAGGTGAAGGACTTGGCCTCAGATTTAGAGCAGGTTGGAGGATGGGTTTCCATCGTGTCCTTCCTGGCCCCCTTTATGACATCAGACCAGGAAGCTGATTTACGATACCTGCCCACCCCTAGTTTTACCGAACTGCTCTGCGATATATGGAGAAATCCAGAATTTAATCAACACTTTGGTAATACCATTCTTCATATATTGCAACTGATCACCTTGAATTTAAGTGCTGAAGGAAGCTTCCTTGAAGACAACTTTTAAAGTTTACTAGATATGTGAAAAACAAAGATAAGTTGATCGAGCATAAAAGGTGAAGGAAACACTTGGGTTTCAATATTGCTAACTGCAGTTGATTGACTATGGAAATCGCCACACTGGTTTTTCACTTCATTAGTGAGCTCCTAATACGCCATACCAGGACATGTTGTCTTTTCCCATTTTCCGAAATTTTGCCTACCAAAGTGGAAACTTCAGGAAAATGTGTTATTTAAATTAAAACGATGGCCGGGGATTTAGCTCAGTGGTTCTGCCGCCTGCCTTGCAAGCACAGGGACCCGAGTTTGATCCCCAGTACCTAATTAATTAATTAATTAAAATGATGTATGTATGAGCAATGTCACCTTATTTTTTTCCTACTGACTTTGATATTTTCTGTTACTTGTTTAGAAAGAAATGTCTTATACTTTAAAAAACAACATTACTTTTTTTTTAAAAGAAAATTTAGTTTTTTGTCTATTTTTTAAAGTGTCTTTATGGAAACATAATTTAACTATCCTAAAATTAATCTATTTACATAAAATGTTATAAATGTATGCAGTTATGCAATCCTCACAATTTGATGTTATAATATTTCCAGTACTTTAGAAAATACCTCCTAAACTGTCCTCTGCCGCCTGCCGTTGGTAGTCGGCCCCTTTCTCCAAGTGCTGCCATCATCCATGCATCGCTTAATTTTCACTTCACTACGTTTTGCTGGATGTTTGGTGTGCTCTGCGGGGAGGTGGATGGCGGAGTTTGGCTTTTGTGTCTTTTGACTAACACCTCCTCCCGCATCCCGAGCTACTCTTCTTCTGTCTGCTTCTATGAGTTCATCTATGTCAGATTTCTTACAAAAGTGACACAACACATTTTAAAGCATGTAAAATAAGACAAATGCTAGCAAGCTAGAAGTAGTCTACATATGACATTAAAAATGGCTAAGCAAGCAATGTGATATTTTCAACTTTTATGCTGTAAATTCTTAAGAGTACCGAGGTTACATTTGTTCCCTGTGTAGAAGTGATAGTTACTGAATATGATGCTGGAGGGTCTAAAAGGTTGATTAGGATTACTAAGCTTTTAAAAGAATTACATAAACATATATATTTCATAGGCCAAATAAGTTACCCCTGTAAGTCTAGAGTTTCAGTGGTCCCTCAAATTGGGGGAGCATCAGAATTAACAAGAAAATTGTGAAAAATTATAAAGAGCCTCTGAGATGTGGCTAAGAAGCCTGAATTTTCAGATGAACTGGTAAGATCAGAAACTAGGCCAGACAGGAAAACAAAGACCTAGAGCGTACATAGGAAATCTGCCTAAAATCCCATCCTGCCTAAAGTCGCAGTGTTTTCCTGTTTTATTATTAATGTTTACACTTGGGTTTTGGGGGGGCAGTATCACATTTTTTCCTATATCAATAGCTATATGTTTTATATTAAGTAAAATTTTATTTTTAGGGTATTGTAGCATCTGTGGTTAAGAAGGGATCTTAGCAGTCACGTGGTCAAACCTCAGTTGAATGCTCTAATCTCCCCCACACATCCTTCCAGATGATCAGTCGTCTAACCTCTGACTGAGCAAGTGTCCTAGCTTTAAAGTCGGACTTATTTGAAATAGCTCATTTGTTTTTCTGTGGCTAAGTTAGATCTTATGAAACCAAAGCCTACTCCTGGTAGCTTCTCTCCCTCCACCCTCCAAGCCCACTTACACAGAGCACCTTTCCCATGTCAGCCCTTTGGAAATTTGCAGATAGACGTCCAACTCCCCCGTCTTCTCCAGGACAGACCTGTCCAGTTTCTTCAGCTGTTGATGTTGTGGTGGATACCCGCCCGATCTTGATAACTCCTGGGTGGAACTTCCCCAGCATGTGTTGCATTCATCAGAATTCCCAGGAGGGCATCACAGTGGGGCCATGAGCTTTGTCCAGACTGTGCTCTGCCTCTCACTTCTGACCACAGCTACACAAGGAGGCTGCTCATCACAGTGACTCACTCCATGGTGTCTTCACCACAGCCTTAACGCTCTGTGTCCCTCACTGTTACTGGATCATTTTCCCTGGATCATTTGCAGGACTTCCCTTCTGCTGTTAAATTTCACCGCATTAGGGTCTGCTCATTGTTCCGCTCTGTTGAAGTGATCCTGGACCTAGAGTCACTCAGCTCACACATTAGCTCTTCCTCCTGGCTTCATGGGATCAGTAGACTCATCATCCGTGTCCTTAGCCTTGTAAATAAATAAATAAAATTTAAAATACTGGCCTAAGAACTTCAACCCACTAAAGCCCTTTGGGTGGATCTTTCTGTTTCGTTGTATTATCCAAGTCAACGTTCAAGAAACAGGATAATGGGAAGGGGTTTTCAAATGCCTGCCTGAAAGACTGCACCATTCTTCTGCTGTCAGTTGCTGATTAAATTAAACAGCAAGTATGATAATCAGGCGTCATTCACTTCTGATGGAGCCTTACTGGCTCCTAGTATTGAGTTCTCTCCCCACTGCTCAAAAACCATCTTCTAAAATCTTGCAGCAAAATCATCATCAAATGACGAGGTATATATTAAACTCTTCATTCTCTTTTCCAGTGAAATCATACTTAACTCTGTCCATGTTTGCCTGTTGGAAGCTCTTGATATCAAATAGTTAGGATTCTAGAAGGCAGGTTGACAGACTAGGAAAGGGTAGATTTTTGTTTGAGTTTTTTTGCATCTAGTAGATCTGAGTTCAAGTCCCAGCTCTATTGCTGCTGACATCCTGCATAATATGGGCAAGTTATGTAATCTTTCTAAGTGTTTTCAGATCTGTAAAATACTTTTTTTGAGAGATTGATATGAAAATCAGAAATAATACTTAAGAGCCGGGTGTGGTGGCACATGCCTGTAATCCAGCACTTGGGAGGCTGAGGCAGGAGGAATGCTGTGAGTTCGAAATCAGCCTGGGCTACACAGTGAGTTCCACATCAGTCTCAACTACATAGTGAGACCCTGTCTCAAAAAACCAAAAATAAATAAATAATAATAATAATAATAATAATAATAATAATAATAATAATACTTTAAAAATCCTGGGATGCTGCTGTCTGAAGAAAGAATATTTTCAGGTCACTCGTAAAAATCTAGAAATAGTGGTACTGAGAAGTAAATCTTCCCCCAAACTGATGGCAGGCTGATGTGTCTCAGTGGGCCAGGTACTAGGAACTCACTATAATTGTGACCATTTGGGTCCAGGCTCTTAATTCCTTTGGAGTTGCTGAGCAGCCATTAATAAATAGTACATTTTTCATTTTACCAATGTTAGTTCTGTCCCCTCTGTTTTAAAAAATGAGTCCACTTTACCAAGAGGCTACAAAGAACATTTGAATTAAGTAATCCCACTTTCTCTCTAATTTCAGATTTATTAATACTCGAAACCTGAAGTTTTAATGAATTCACCATCAAAGTGCTTGTTAATACATGTGGGTTATTGTATAGCAGTGGCATTTCTTTTCTGTGAGTTAGATGCTGAAGTTAAAGAGTGTTTTAGAAGATCTTCTTAAAAAACAAAAGATGGCATGTGGTATTCTCTGATTAAAAATAATGTGCCCTTTGCCCTTTTCTATGCTATTTTGTAAAGTCATTCATATCTTTGAAGTATAAACACAATAATAGAAATCAGAAAATTTAGTTGAATCAGCATCATAGGAATGTTGTATTTCTACAGATCAAAGAAACAGGCAAAATGAAAATGCAGAAATTTTTGTTAAAAATATATATATATATGAAATACCACAAAAGATTAGTATTTTAAACAAAAAAAACCCACTGGGGAAAACAATTACATAATTATTTTATAAGATAAAGTGTAATTTACTACACACAGGGTATGTGATACATTGCTGTGGGAAAGGCATTAAAATTTCTGGTATGCAAAAAGTAATAAAAATGGAAAACAACAAAATCAAAGTACAGTAGGATATGTTCCAGGACAGAGGTGCCCTTGTTAGAAGAAACGTATGTGTCTCCATTTCTTTATCTCTGCAAGGAGACTTTGCCTTGCATTCCTGAAGAAGAAAGAATATTTTTATGTCACTTGTAAGAATC